ATAATATATCCTATTAGTTCTGTTCCTCTAGAGAACCCTGACTAATGCAGCATAGCTTCCTCATCCCCTGACACATCTCCCTGCAGGAGAGCTCCTCCTCCAGTGGGGCTCTTGCCCCACCTCCCACATGTTCCACCTTCCTCTCCAGCCCTGAGTTTCTTGAACAGCAGAGGGAGATGGGTGGGTACACACACAGGCCCCTGGGCTTGCAGCCCAGCTCAGGCCTGCATGAGCTCTCAGAGGTACCCACCTGGGAGGAGAGTCCATTGGTGAACCCATTGGCATTCCTCCTCACCACTGCTGATGGGGTCGCCTCGTCATCAGTGGGTGATTTTGTCCGAGGGGGCACAACACCAACTGCAGAAAGACAGAGTAGCCGGTGGGCCTCATGGAGAGCAGGAAGTCAGGAAGCCAACTTCTCAGAGACAGGCTCAGCCCCACTCTCCACCGAGATTAAAAAGCTCAGGGTGTGGCACCAGGCTTTGGGTGTGAATGAGCACCGAAGGCTCCTCCCTGAGCATCCTTGCCTTACTTCTAGGGGAAGATGGGTCACAAAGTACCTTTGTTGAGAGCTGCCTGCTTCTCTGCCTCTACCTCTTGTCTGGTGGGCACAAGGCTGATGTCTCTGGGGGTGTCCAGGGATGATGTCTGCTGGGGGTCTTTCTTGCTTTGTTCGTAGCTTGCCTTGGGCTGGAGAGAAAGGGCAAGAAGATGACTGATGTTAGTATGGCTGTCAGGAACTTGGCCCCCAGTGATGTTTCTTTGTTTTGCAATGGTTGAAGCTCAAACCCTTGCAGATACAGGGAACAAGGAAATTCTATGTGTGCCACCTGGGAGGCGGACAGGGATGCACTGGAGCCTCCCATCCATGCACTTTAAGTAGGGTCAATATGGGCCATCTTGGGGAATGAGAGCTCATAGCCCCTAGGAGGCCCCTCAGCCTGACCATTTGTTTTGGCTGACACTAAGAACCACAGACTTGCTGTGAGCCAGAGTCAAGAAATGGCCAATGGGGGGTCTCTGAGGATCCTGTAAGGAATCCTACCCAAGACATGAGCAAACAGAACCAGGCGGGCCTTGGTACCAGGATTCTAGGGAAATGAAAAGGGCACTTAGTGTGTGGGCTCACAAAATCATGAGACTAGAAGAGACCTCAGCCATCATCTGAGCCACTGCTCCCATGGTACAGTTGAAGAATCTAAGCCTCAGTGAGAAGAATACAGAAAGAAGACCAGGCTAAAGGTCAGCAACTCCAGTTCTAGCCCAACTAGAGAACAGAGGTCCCCTCTCTTCGTCTGTCACATACGGGTAACATTACCTGCTCTGCCCATCTCACCAGGCAAACCCTCAAGGGTTATGCAAATTATACATAGCTAAACCTAGATGAACATATGAGTTTTCCAATTTTAGGCACAGGACTTTTTCTACTCACCACACAACCTCTTCCAAACCTAACTGCATAGCTCCTGGATCTTGGCTAGGGATGCAGGTGAGACAACAGGCCAGAACAGGAGAGAAAAGGGCCTGTATCCTTATACTCTAGGAACTCATGAAACCCAGCGAGGACACAATACAAGGTGGAGGCAGAGAGATAGTATGGGCGGAGTGGGGCCTGGAATGGACACACGAAGGGATTGGAATGGCACTGCTGGGAGTGTCACTCAGTTCCCATTGGCTGGTCATGTTGGTAGGGAGTGGGGCATAATACTAGCACCCACAAACACTGGCTTCCCATGAGCCTGGGGTTGGAGCAGTAACTCATGTCCCCATCACCTACAGAAAGCAAAAAGGCACAGAAAGATGGCCTGTGTGATGGCTTCAACTATCCTTTCCTTATCCCAGAGTCCAGCTGAGCAGGGGCGCCATAGAAACCGAACTCTGGGAAAATTAATGGGGAAAATGACTCCAGGGCCCTGCCTTGCCCCCTGGCCTGGCCCTCTGCCCATTGTCCCCTGCCCCACCCTCCAGGACCCAAGGGTGATGGGTACCTGCCCCCTGGCTGTCTCGCCACTGCGGTGCCAGGAAGGGGAGCTGGGGTAGGGCCAGAAGCGGCTCTCGCTAGGGAGTGGAGGGACGGCTGGAGGAGACTCCAGGGGGACGTAGGCTTTGGGGAGGGGAGGCCGAGGCGGGCCAGGTTCCTGAGGCAGACAGAAGCCAGAGCATTAGGAGGAACAAGAGCAGCCACTGTGAGAGCAGGAGAAAAGAGCATTAGCAGGAGGCAGACAACAACATTGCTGGAGACCTGGGCGGGCCCCTGGGACCACTGCACTCCCACCCGTGGCCTGAAGAGAGTGCCAGCTCCGGAGCTAACTCTCTGCCTGACCTTCAACACCTTCCTCGACCCAGCCTCTACCTGTCCACCACTCCCCACTGCTCCCCAAGTTTTCCCCAAAGCTCTCTCATTGCCTCGCCCCCATGCCAGGCAGCTCCTCTCCCACCCCTTTGCTTCCACCCACTCTCCTGCCTAGAATGCCTTTCCCTTGTTCCTCTCCCTGTCTTGCTGCTCTGTGGCCTGGTGTAGGTCCAATTATCTGTTGGAACATCAGGGCATTTATAGTCTGAACCATGTGGCTTAATGCTGAGACATACGCTGTCACGTTCCTATGAATTTGTCTTGGTTCATAGGATGCTGGGCTCCCTGAGTGAAGCCTTTGAGCACATGTGCGCATCTTTCTTTTACTTTTCTTTTCTTTTTATTTATTATTATTATTATTATTATTATTATTATTATTATTTTGAGATGGAGTCTGGCTCTGTCACCCAGGCTGAAGTGCAGTGGCGCGATCTCTGCTCACTGCAAGCTCTGCCTCCCAGTTTCATGCCATTCTCCTGCCTCAGCCTCCCAAGTAGCTGGGACTACAGGTGCCCACCACCATGCCCGGCTAATTTTTGTATTTTTTAGCAGAGATGGGGTTTCACCGTGTTAGCCAGGATGGTCTTGATTTCCTGATCTCGTGATCTGCCTGCCTTGGCCTCCCAAAGTGCTGGGATTACAGGCATGAGCCACCATACCCAGCCTCTTTCTTTTATTTTTTATTATTATTTTTTGAGACAGAGTCTCACTCTGTCACCAGGCTAAAGTGCAGTGGTGCGATCTTAGCTCACTGAAACCTCCGCTTCCTGGGTTCAAGCAATTCTGCTGCCTCAGCCTCCTGAGTAGCTAGGACTACAGGCGTGCACCACCACGCTCAGCTAATTTTTGTATTTTTTGTTTTTTTGTTTTTTTGTTTTTTTCCAGTAGAGATAGGGTTTCACCATGTTGGCCAGGATGGTCTCTATCTGCTGACCTTGTGATCCACCGCCTTGGCCTCCCAAAATGCTGGGATTACAGGCATGAGCCACCACGCCTGGCCATGTGTATATCTTTCTAGAAGGGCCTCATGGCACCCCATGCCCACGGTTGAGCCCCAGAAAACACTTGCTGATTGACTGACTAGGAAACTGCTCCCCACACTGACCCTTCACCCTGTTGCTATCCTGGCATCATTCTGGATTTAAATTCTTATGAAATGTGTGCGGTCTCCTATCCAACCTTGTGCTGTCTCCTATCCATCCTGGTGCCCAGGAACAGGCTTCACTGAAAGGGAGCTAAAGATGACAGATGGAGATGAGAACAGGTAAAGGGGAAACCTGGAGAGAAGTTCACAAAATGGGGTGTGAGAATGACCTCCTTAAACAAAGAGCTCCAGCACTAGGGCTGGAGGCCTGTGGGGAAGAGATGGGCACAGAAGTTGTATAATTTCAGACAAATGAGGATCTGGTCCTTCCTCCCCCACCTACCTTCTACTGCATTTCTCAACTTACCTCGTTGGAGCCAGGCTTGGTGGGGGACCCCTGAGAGCCCGACACCAGTGAAAAGGGGCTCAGGGGGCTGGTGAGGCTGGCGGAGCTGAGGGGGCTGGCCGGGCTGTTGGAGCTGTAGGTGGCTGAGGGGCCAAGTCCTCCTTGGGAGAAACAGAAGGGAACGGGTGAGCAATGGAGGAGGGGTGCTGCCTGGTGGGTACATAGATGGGCACTGTGAGTGGAGGTGGCAGGGAGAAGCCAGATCCAGGGATGTGGGAGGGCAGACTTAGTGCCTCAGGGCCACCTGGGCCTGCCAAAGGGACTCATTACAGGTTCTGGGGCCACAGGCTGATTGTTGAGAGGTGTGCTGGGTGGGGAAGATGGTAGATGGAAATGATACTGTTGTCCCTGAGGTGTCAAGGAAAGCCAGTCTGAGGTCCCAGGGCTCAAGGAAAACTCTAAGGTAGGGGTCACAGGTCACGAGTGGGCCCATGTGCTTGGGGGTTAGGGAGGCTTAGGTGCTTTTGACCTTTTTTGGGGAGGACTTTAGAGTGTCAGGGTCAACAGTGTCTCTGAGTTGTCTACTTAGTCTATTCTGTCAGGGGTAAGGGAGCCCTACCTACCACCCTAGAACCCAAGGGAAGATTCTGACGTCCCAAGAAGGCCCTGCCTGGCCCTGAATACAGTGTGAGCTGGCAGGAGTGGGATGGAGGCCAGAAATACCGGAGCACTCCTGGTGAGGCAGGCAGCCTAGGAGGCTGGCACAGGAGGCACCCACCTCTGTGCTTGGCAGTGTCCGTGCCCCGGGAGGGGTTGTTCTTCCTCAGCCCCTCCATCACGTCCTGGATCCTCCAGATCTCCTTTTGGATTTGCCGGTTCAGCACCTCATTCTGAAGCAGCCACACAGTGAATCAAAGGAAATGGCCACGAGGAGTTTCCCTCAGCCCAGACCCCTCGGAACCCACATCCCTTTGGGTCAGCAGGAGGCAGGCACCCTGTACACACACACACACACACACACACACACACACGCCCCCTCCAGCAGTCATCTTTCCCATGGGCTGCCTCTGTCTTCAGCCTCTGGGAGATGGCACCCCAGAATTGCCTGAGTCTCTGAACCAAGACTGAGGACGCACCCTTCTGAGTTCCCCCAGGAGAATTGTGGCTGGTTTGTGAGTGAATGCCCATCTAAGTGAACACTTTATGGTATCCTGGTTTTCGTGGGGCAAGAGCTTCCATTTTACTGCTTTTCTTCACATCCAAACAGCCCTTTTCTAACACCCACTCCCAGCGTACGCCTGAGGAGTCATGAATTCAATTACAGTTGACACTCTAAAAGGTAAGACCTCCCATTTATTTAGCATCCCTCAGCACCAGGCACTATGCCAAGCACTTTGCATATACAGTGCTAACTCATTTCGGCTGCACGACTCTAGGAGATAAGGGCAGCAGCTGTCCCCTCTTCAGAGATGAAGAGACTCACACCCAAGGCCGTCTATTTAGTAAGCAGCATGACCATCATCTAAATATGGGTCTATTTGGACTCGAAGGTTAGTGCCCTTGACCACAACACTATCCCCCTCCTAAAATGTCTATGCTTCAAATGAGGCTTGGCCATGGGACATTGTGGTATTTGGGTCCTTTGGACCAGATGGGTCTTCATACTACCTAACCAGCTGCAAGGTAAGGGTAGTGAGTGGCATTACCAGGAGGGAAACAGAAGAAAATGGGGGAAACCAGTTATTAACTGCATCAGAGAGACAGGGCTTGCAAACTAGCTAGAGAAGAGGGAGGGCCTGGGTGAAGAAAAGGTAGAGGGAAGAAAAGAACAAGAACTCTTCCAGATCATCAGGTCAATCCTCCTGCCTCCGGGCAGACTGTTTCTAACCCATCCCAGGAAGAAAAGCCTCTTTCCTATCTAAAAATTCCTACCGCCCACTCTTCTAATGCCTGAGTTATTTATATTTACATGTCTGTTTTTAAATCCTGCTGGGCACAGTGGTTCATGCCTGTAATCCCCAGCACTTTGGGAGGCTGAGGCGGGAGGACCACTTGAGCTCAGGAGTTAGAGACCAGCCTGGTCAACATAGGGAGACCCTGTCTCTATAAAAAATAAAAAAAACTAGCCGGGCATGGTGGTTCACGACTGTGGTCCTAGCTACTCAGGAGGCTGAGGTGGGAGGATTGCTTGAGCCCGGGGCAGTCAAGGCTGCAGTGAGCTGTGATTGCACCACTGCGCTCCAACCTGGGCAACAGAGCAAGACCCCATCCCAAGAGAAAAAGAAATCCTTTCAATCATAAAACACTTTGTGTCTAACTGAAGTCTCCCAAGCTTCAGCTTTAGCTCCTTGCCCTGTGAGCTGAACCTAAAGTGTCCCATTATCTTCATCCTGAAACTTAGAGTCTGTTATCAATGACCTCAACCTTTGCTTTTGTCTCAAGGCCAACTCCTCATCTTTAGTCACATCCCAATCCCTGCCAGCTCAGGGGCCCTTCTTCACCTGGGTGTCCAAATTGAGCTGCTCCCAGAGGTCATCGTGCAGGGCAGAGACCTCAGACTCGAGGTGCTCATACTCTATGGTGCTGTTCGTCAGGGCCTGTTGGGGGAAGAGGTGTTCACTGAGAAAGCCGCCATCACCAAGGCATTCCTCCTTATCCTGAAACGGGCCCTGGGGCCAGGGTACTAGAGGCCCGAAGATCTGGGGAAGAGGGCATGGAGGGACCAAAGGAGAGGGGCACCAGGCTGAGACATTCTGGTGACAGCCAAACACTAGCCTTACAAGAGATGTAACAGCCCATCCCACCACCAACTGAAATAAAGAGAAAATAGAGAGGGATGATATCACTTCCATACCCTCCTATTCTCCCCAGATTAGGGGATAAAAACTAGAGGGCATAGCCTGGGGAAAATGACAAGACCCCATCTCTACAAATTACAAAAGGTAGCTGGGCATGGTGGTGTACCCCTGTAGTCCTGGAGATTTGGGGGCTGAGGCAGGAGGATCACTTGAACCCTGGAGATGGAGACTGCAGTGAGCTGTGTTTGCACCACTGCACTCCAGCCTGGGCAACAGAGCAAAACCCTGTCCTTTAAAAAAAAATTTTTTTTAAGTGGAGGGCAAAGAGAAAAGAGCCTGAAGGAGGATATTTGTTATCCGGAGGTTAGCGAGCTCCCTCCTTTCTGAGCCACACTTTCACGGGGCTTTAGCTGCTGCTTCTTGGAGCCATTCTCCAAGCAGTCCGTGCCGGAAGGTCTGCCTGTACCTGCTGGGAAGTAGTGACCAAGGCAGCAGCCTTTTGTTTTTTTTTCTTTAGCTGGAGTTTCACTCTTGTTGCCCAGGCTAGAGTGCAATGGTACCATCTTGGCTCACAGCAACCTCTGCCTTGTGGGCTCAAGCGATTCTCCTGCCTCAGCCTCCTGAGTATCTGGGACTACAGGCATGTGCCACCATGGCCAGCTAATTTTGTATTTTCAGGAGAGATGGGGTTTCTTCATGTTAGTCAGGCTGGTCTCAAACTCCCAACCTCAGGTGATCCGCCCGACTCAGCCTCCCAAAGTGCTGGGATTACAGGCGTGAGCCACCATGGCCAGCTGGCAGCAGCTTTTTTGCCAGGGAGAAGACAGAAGTGGGCAGCAGATGTGTTAGCACAGCCAAGGAAATAAGTAACTCACAACTTCATGCTGTCCCAAAGAAATCCAGGTACAGGTACAGCTTGTGGGAAATAAGCTCATCTCCTCGGTGGAGACTGGAATGAGCAGTCTGGCTGACTTACTATTTATTTGCAGGGCAATGTTGAGGTCTTTGTTTATGTCCCTCTGCACGGGAGGACTCAGCTTTTGTCCTCTGAGGAAAACTGGACTAGGACAGCACAAGCTGGGAGGTGGTTGCCCTCCTGCCTAGTGCTGATCAGGTGGGGTGCAAAAACCCTGCTCCCTGGGTTACCGTGGTCGCCTGAGACAGCTCCACGCGGATGTTGATGAGCTGGTTCTGCAGAGAATCCTTTTTGTGCCGCAGCTTTTCTGGGTAGGCAGGCTGGCTTCCAAACATCTCCAGCTCCTGGTGGGTCCCCATCAAGGCACTTTCCAGGCTCTCCTGAAGAAAGGCAGGGGAATGACGTGAGCAGCCCTGACAGCTCCTCTCTGGGATTGAACAGCAGAGGCCTGAGACCTTAGAGGTTCAACAGGGAGTTGAGTGGAGGCTGTCCTTGCTTTGTCATCTTAGTCAGGATGGAGACAGCAGCCCACAACCTTCTCCAAGCCAGCCTCACCCATCTGCCCCAGCTTAAAGCCACCCCCGGCTTCTCACCTTCTCAGCTCGGAGCTGCTGCACCAGCCGGTCCTGCTCCCTCACCACCTTGTTCTGCTCACACAATTTTCCCAGCAGCTTCTAGGGTCCCAGAGAGTGGGGAAGGAGAGGGAGAAAGAAGGGGATGAAGGACACAGTTTGGTGGGGACCTGGGAGTTACAGGGCCTGGCCTCTGGATACCCTCTCCTTTCTCCTGCTGAGGAACCCTGGGCCTTCACCTTGCCCTTGGTGGCTCCTGAGAACAAGAAGATGGGTCTTCCTCTTGGGAGGGGAGGTACGCTTACTCTCTGGGGAAGTCAGTTGGGTTAAGAGGGCTGAGAGCCAAGTGTTAAGCTCTGGCACCCCCATCCGTCCAAGGGTTGCCGTTCGCGAAGGATGGAGGAGATGATGTGACCTCACCTCCTAGGCTGGACTGAAGAGGCGGGCCGGCTTTCAGAACAAGCAGTCTTAGAAAAGCAGTGAGCAATAGAAACTGTCCCTCAATCCCACAGAACCTTCTCCCTTCTCTCTCAAGATCCTGTTCTTCCCTCTTGCCTCCAAAGTCTCAGGATGGCTGACCCTCCCTCTGAGGTCTAGTCCTTTCAGGAAGGAACCTCTCCCAGTCTCACTGGGCAGGGCCAGTGGTGATGTGGAGCAGACAGCTGGGGCCAGAAAGAGGGCTTGTGCTTTCCTAGTCCACACCTTTATTCATGCCATTCCTCAAATACCTGCTTTGCTCCTTTCTACTGAGCCAGATTTTACCCTCTGGGCCTTTTAACTTCAAGGTCTAACTCACGTGCTACTTGTTTTGTCCCTGACCTTCAGCCCACACAGCCTCACTTCCCTGCACCTGGCAGAACCTATTACAGCTCCCCTTCACGACATGAATACTGTGTTGCCACCTCCTGCTGCTACCTGGCATCTCCCACTACCCTGAAGCTCCCTGAGGGCAGGGGCACAGCTGCATTCTCCTTTCTAGTTACCTGTAGGGACTAATGTCATGCTGGGCACAGAATAGACTGATCTATCTCCCAACAAAGTCTGCATTCGTGTTACAAGCAGATCTCCCTGCTGTAGGCAAAAGGGCCGAGCGCTCAGTGGAGAAACGGATACAGCCAGCATGGGAGGGAAGGGTGAGTAGGTGGTAGATCAGAAAAGAAGGGGGATGAGGAGGAGGTAGGCAGAATCTTGTTGTGGTGAGAGAAGACATGAATCAAAGGTACGAAGAGCCACCAGAAGGAGAGAGATGGATGGAGAGACAGCCCCTGCAGAGGACAGCAGTGGGAGGCTGGAGTGGAGGGAGGGAGCAGGGGGCGCTGCTCTTACATCTGTGTCTTGCTCGTTTAACTTGTAGGTATGGAGGCGGTCCCGGAACACTTCTGGGTACGGAGGGACCTGCAGGAACATGAGGCCGGTTACTGCAGCAGGGGCAGGATGAGGGTATGCAGGGATAGGAAGCTGACATCACAATCCCGCTCTGCTCCTGCCAGAGACCGTGGTCCATCACCTCTGATGGTTTCTGTTTCAGGGACCTGAGTTCATTCTTCATCCCCTGGCTGGAAGCCTGGGATGGCCCAGCCTAACCCCATCCCAGTTGTCTTAGGCTGACTCCGGAGAGATCAGAACTCTGCTTGAGTCATGCTCTGTATTTCCTCTCCCCCAAGCACTAGGGTCTGCTGCTAAGAGGGACTGCAGGGTGTGCAGTTCCCAATGGCTTGTTGGTAACCACCATGAGAACATCAGTGAACTCCGTGGCTGTCTGTGGGGATAAGACATGGGAGAATTGTCAGAATGAGCATTGGGAACAGTTGAAAACTATTGCCCTAGTAGACTGAACACCAGTCACAGGGCTTGTGTCTAAACCAAAATTGTCAAGAATTCAGAAGTGTCTCTGGGTCCAGCAAATGCTGCCTGGCCTGGACACCACATCTGGTGACCACAGCACATTCTATACACTTTTGACATTAGATGGTTCCATTACACCCTTCATGCCTTTAACCCCAGTGACGTCTGTCAATATATTACAAATACGAAATCGAAATCAGAACATTGAAGAGCAGAGTTGCGATCCCCAGCATGGCATGAGATGTTGGTGCTGGCTCTTTTGATGGTTTGGGAAATGGGCCTTGGGTTTACCCATGAAAGTGAAGAATGGAGGTGACATAGTGGAATTAAGGAAAGAAGACCAGGCCAAGCCTGTCTCCAGGCAGATGAGCGGGTCGGGTGGCGTGAGCCTCATTCTAGATGGGCAACTCGACCATGCACAAGCAGCTGAAATGGCATTGGCAGGGACCATGCTGCCAGGCAGAGGTCTTACTTGCATGAAGAGTTGGGACCTGGGGGAGGAGTTTTCCACCATGCGGTTCACCATACTGATGAGAGTCTCACTCTCACTCATCTGCAGCGGAGGAAGGAACGGACTATTCACACTCCGACCCACATGTAGGTATCTCCCCCTCACCCACCTGTGCTTGTTTCCCAGGAAACAGGGGAGGGCAGCTCCCCCAGCATCCTGAGCTTGCTCACCCCTTATGACCTCTGTTTCAGGACCAGCACTGAAGCTGTCCTTGCAGAAAGGCCACGGAAGGGTCCGGGAGGCCACTGGGACCTTGCTGGAGGCACTGCAGAGGCCCTGGCCTGGTGATTCTTCCCCAGGGTGCCTGGTTGTTATGGATCCCATCCGCATTGGCCACGGTTGTCATCTCCCTGCCCTGATCTCATTTCTCACACAACTTTGGACAAAGACCATAGAGGCAATTGGAAGACAGATCTCCCCAAAGTTGAACTAAGTGAAACAACCAAAAAAGAAAATCTAGGACCTGGTCTTTGGATGGGCCGCCACAGATACCGAGGCCTGGCTCCTCTCCCTGCCCCTGCCCCTGCCCCTGCCCACCCTCGGCTCTAGTACAGAAAGTGCTAAACATGGTTTCCAGAGCTGGGCTGGCAGCATCCTTGAGGATCTCAGATGATGCTAGGGAGCAAACAAGGAGGCCAAAACAAGCGAGCCACGTTAAAGGGACACCAGGCTCTCCAACACATTTTTCTATTTCAAGAATCCTTAGGAACATGGGGGTGGAAAGACTATTTGCCAATTTAAAAAGAGAGAAATGGAAGAAGGGAGGGGATGAGGAGGAAGAGGAAGGGAAAGGAGGGGTGGGAGAAAGGGCGGGCCAACACATCAACCAGAAATGCCATCATTTCCCCCACTGGTTCCAATGGGAAAGGACCAAAAAGTGAAGATATCAGGGAATGTCCTTGGCTGTGTCCCTTTAACTCCATGGTTCTACAGGGGAAGGCAGCAGAAGACAGAAGGGAGTGTGCAGGGAAAGCTTTCTGGAAGGGAAAGTGAATGAGGAAAGGAGGAAAGACACACATTAGGGAAGATTATCTGGGGTTCCTGTTCAGAGGGTCCCCTGTGATTTTTCCATCATCTCTCCAATCTCAGTTGCACCCACACTGTCCTTTCTTCCTCTTACCCCTTTTAGGCAGCTGCCCAAATACAGCCTTGCTTCTACATGTTGTAGGCAGGGCAAGGGCACCGACCACCCCATTTGCAGGGTCTGCGGCATTTCAAAAGGCTTTCCTAGGAATGGATTCTTCCTGTTTAGCCCTGGAATGCAAGGGCCTTGAGGGCTGGGAGCCATCCCTGCACAGTAAACTGTGTGTATCTCATTCCTTCCCCAGCAAGCGGATCTAGAGCAGTAGAGGAAGTGAGCAGGAGTGTTTTCATCCTGGCCTGCTCCCGCCTGTGCTGCGGCTTTGGGGATCTTTCAGCCCAGGTGGGTCTTACCTCTAGGAGGATTCTTGTGTGCTACCTTCTGTCTCTCCAAAATGTTAGATTTTGTAAGAAACCACCTAACCCAGTGCCTCACACATGGTAAGGAGTGCTCGTTGATACTTTTGTGTCTGGGAAAAACAAAATAATCATAGCAGCAAGTGGTGATTGTCACTCCTTGCCGATGCCTGACAAAGAGCTCCCATATGCACCCCCGCTTGATTCTCCCAATACATCTGTGAGGTTGAAAGGAAAGGGCAGGTTCTACAATGCCCATTTTATGATTGAGAAAACAAAGACCCAGAGAGACTAAGTGACATTTCCAAGATTAAAAAAAAAAAAAAATCCTTGTAAATGGCAGAGCTAGAACTAGAGCAGCAGTGTCTGACTATGTCCTGGACTCTTCTCATCTACAAGACTGCCTTTTGAGAGTATTACCCTTGGCCAGGTACAGAGGCTCACGCCTATAATCCTAGCACTTTGAGAGGCAGAGGTGAGACGACTGCTTGAGGCCGGGAGTTTGAGACCAGCCTGGCCAACACAGTGGAGCACCCATCTCTACAAAAAAAATTTTTTTCAATTAGCCAGGTGTGGTGGCTGCACACCTGTCTGTAGTCCTAGCTGCTCACGAGGCTGAGGTGGGAGGATCGCTTGAGCCTGGAAGGTGGAGGTTGCAGTGAGCTATGATTATGCCACTATACTCTAGCCTAGGCAACAGAGTGAGATCCTATCTCAAAAAAAAAAAAAAAAGAGAATAATACCATTTATCCATGAGGGAGTCCTCTGGAAGGCTATTTCTGAAGCCCCCAGCCTAATGGGCCAGCCCCTCTGTGAAAGCAAAAGCCCCCAATAAGGGACCCTGCTGTCTGCACTGAATGCTATGACAATAGGGCATTGTGGATGGAGTAGAAAGCCAATCACAAGGGCGACAGGGAGGGCAGCTTGCTCGGGAACCTGGAGGCGGATGGGCCCTGAGCCCCACTCCTCATCCCTGCAAGGCACTTCGGATCTTGCTTCCCATCAGCAGGATCCTGGGCCTCCCGTCCCTGCTCCGAGTTGGAATCCTGGGATCTGTTCCCACATGGCCCAGAATGCTCATGGTGTGACACAATAAGCTGCTTTCGGAGCTGGAATGCAATGGCCTCCAGGGCCAGGAGCCATCTCTGCTTATTGAACTGTGGACATTGCTGCTTCCTAGTGCCTGAGGCCTATTACAAAATCGAATTGCGACATCGGCATGAAGCCCCTGTGAGATGGGTCACACACACGGCTTGTGACTAGAAGAACCAACAGTTGCAGCTATAGCATCTGATTTCAAATTTATGGTTTTTTTTCTGTAACTTTAAGAGCATGAACTCATCCTAATGAGGTTTGACGGCAGCTTTGTCACACATTAGATGTTTCCTCAGCTGTAAACTGGGTCAAAAGCTTGGAGTCACATTCCAAGCTCAGCTGTTCACTGGCTGTGTGTTCTTGGCACGTTATTCAATCTCTCTGTGCTTTAGTTTCCTCGCCTGTAAAATGGGGTAATAACAGCATCCACTTTACAGGGTTGTACTGAAGATTAAATGAGTTAGAGATCTGAAAAATGCTTAGAATAGTATGGGGCACGGAGCAGGCATCCAATTATTGCAGCTATTGTTAGTAGTAGTAGTAGTCTTTCCACTCCCCAGGCTGCCTCCACAGGACAGTGTGTACTTCTAGGTCTTGGTTTGTAGCACAGATCTGAACTTAAGAGTATGTGCTTATATAGATACCCAGCATATCGACCCCCAGCCTGTCTAAACTCAGCCTCACAGCTCCCTTAGCTTAAAACACAAGAAAGGGTTAGAGCCCTGGAGTAGACACCAGGCAGCCAACTGCTTGCAGCTCGTGGAACACTCACTGCCTCTTCAGCTTGCTCACCTGTAAGACTGGGTTGATAATACTCCCTCTGTTTGCACTGAATTCTTAGGAATGCACAAGCTGTGTATGCAAAAGAGCTTTTGGAGGAACTAACGAATACACTGAGCGAATATTACTTTAAAAATCATCCTGGGGAGGGTCTGTAGGCCTCAGTTTACCAATTATGGAGTTTAACAACAACCTGTAAAATATGATACGATGATTTCCCAGATTCAGGCAGAACTAAATCCCTAGCATTTTAGGCCCAGCCTAGAGCTCCCTGGACTCTGCGACTCTCTCCTCTCGCCAGCAAAAATGCAAATTCCCACCTGCCCCCTGGGGGCCGTTCCATCCGAGCAGAGCACTGGAGAAATAAGAGGTGGCATTAATTATTCATGCGCCTACTTATTATGCTTCTTTCCCCAGGAAACTCCCAGCTGTCCTAAAGGGCTTTGAAGAGAAGGGGTGTGTAGGCGCAAACCAAAACATAAGCCACTTTGTTGTGTCCTGCTTGCACCAACAAAGGTTGTCAAATGGCTGGAAGATGAGGAGGTGGGGAGGAGTGGAGAGATGCGACAGGAAGGCAGTGGGATGGTAGGGGGCACCAGCTCTGCCTACCTGCTGATCCAAATACTCTAGGTTTCTTTGCAACTGAAGATCTAAAAGTTCATCCTACCCGGAGCCCGAGGCCCAGAGGCCAAACAGCAACACAAACAAACAGGAACACACAAAAGAAAACAATAAAAAAAGAAGCAAAGCAGTTAAGAGTTAGCGACAAGGACATGGAGAGGCTTCTCCCTCTGCCCTTGGGGAGTTCTCAGGAAGGGAGGGGTTGAGGATGTGGGCAGGCAAAGTAGTTCTCTACTGGACACTCCAGGGAGAGAAGGGGCACACGCAGGCCCCACTGCCATCTCTCCTAGGTCTGCCTAGGCCTCCCTGGGAGAGGTGAGTGTCATCAGAGCAGTTTAGGCAGCACTTGTTAGCAGCTGTTTCTGAGTTTTCTGGAAAAATCGGTTGTTTCTGGGTGTGTATGTTTGCTGTGGGTAAGGCTTATACGCTGTGGACACTGGCAGAGTGAGAATCAGACAGAGAGGGGAAGGAGCCGCCGCCTAGCCTCCAGCCTGCCCAGCCCTCCTCCACCCTGGCCTCCTGGTACTGTTATGGAAACGAGTCAGCAACAGGCTTTCTGGACAAGGATTCTGCCTGTTGGTCCCAGTGGTCCTCCCCAACCCTCCCAAGTGGAGCATCTCATCTAGGTCTCTAGGTGGTGGCAGAAGTTCTCAGGAGAACAAATTCCAGGGAGAGACACGAGTAGAAAGAGGCAGAGAAAAAGGAGGAGACGCAATTCAGAAAATTTTTTCTTCCTCAATCATATTGCTTGTATCTCTCCCCAAAAGTGGCATTCCAGACAAAGGACAAACGTTAAATAACTATGCTTCAGGGGGAAAAAGTTTAGAAAACCTTGCTTCTTGTTAGGAGCTCTGGCCTGATTTTTCCTGCCTAGGCCTCTTCTCCTGCATGCTGGAGAGGAGAGGGACCAGGATATTACATGCTCCCAGATCTCATCCCTCCTCCACGGCCTGTGTCACAGAGGAGAAGGGGTTACTGGCACCAAACTTGATACTGGGGCTAGAGTCCTGACTGGGAGGGAGGAAGTATCCAGAGGCTGCTAAAAACCAGCCAGGCCAGGCACTAGGCACAGAGCGTCCCTGGAGTCCGCCCCAGTTTAGCTCCACCCTGGGTGGAGCACGGTGCGGGGAGGCCCTGAGGCAGGTGGAGGGGAGAAAGGACGTACCATCTTATCGTGGACCGTGGGGGATGGTGGGTAGTTGTAGGGGAACAGTCCTGCAGGGACTGGCCGCCTGTCTCCCAGGTAATCATACTGGAAGAGAAAGGGATCACAGAGGTGAGGGGTCTGGCTGGGACACAGAGTTCCCCACCAGCTGAAGCTCAAGGTTAGAGGTGTTTGTGTTCAGTCCCAGAGCAGATCCCAAACTGAAATGGACAGCAGCCCCCCGTGCAATGATCTGTCTAGGTCCTCAAGATTTGAAAAGACAGAACCCTCTCTGCCCTCTTACATGATGGCACGGTTTCTGGCACAACCTGGGGGCATGTACAGAAAGCAATGTTCCCACTCAAGAGGCAAAGCCGTCCCCAAGACAGCTCTACTACAGACAGAACCACAGGCCAGGGGCTTCCCTGGGCAACACTGCTGGTCCTATGGACACACAGCCCAGTGGCCTCGTGGCCCAGATGCTCCCACATCTCTGCCTTTTCCCAGTAGATTGTCTTAGGCTTCTGGGGATCTCAGGGAATGAGGAAGGAACGGCAGGCTGGTGGCTCACCTTGGGGGAGCTGATGGATCGCCTCATCACGTAGGCAGCAGGGTCAGCATAGATGTCCTCGCTGCGAGGTGGCAGTCGCTCAAAACGGGCACTGGGTGAGCGGACAGGGGAGTAAATGCGGGCACGGCTGTAGGAACCCTGGCTGGGTGAGCGGGGCACAGAGTGGGAGCGGGGCTGCAGGGACAGGCGGCGCATGGAGCTAGAGGCAGCATCCAGCTCATCATAATAGACTGGCTGCCGGGAGGGGCTTGGGATCCAGACGGTGCCATCCTGCCGCCCGTAGCTGGCGGGCTCCTTCCACTCTCGCAGCTGGTAGGCAGGGCCGCCCCCGTTGCGGAAGGCATGGCGCTTGTCCTCCAGGGCCCAGGGCGGGCTGATCCGATCATAGGCCGGCATGGAGCAGATGCTCTCTGGCCGCACCCCTGGCGGGTAGTACTGATAATCATCAGGGTACTGGGAGGAGTAGGGGCCGTAGTACTCAGGGACCCTGCGAGACACAGGGTAGAATCTAGAGGGACTGAGAGAGAGGGGATATTGTAAGGAAAGCAGACAACATGGGCACCCCTCCACCCACCCCAGCCCCACCTCCAGGTCCCCCAGCCTAGAGCAAGGTGCTTGAATAGGTACACAGGGGCTGAAGTTTATTCCAGAGGTGACGGAAAGACTCCTGTCCTCACAGCCCCCTTCCTCAACCAGCTCCCCAAGGCTGGACACTGCACCATTCACAGCTTCAATCTTTGTCTCTTTAAAATGACATATCCCTAGGAAGAAACGTGAAGCCTTATCAGCCGTCTCCATCTCAGCATGAACCAGTTTATCAGATCTTTTCTGAGAGAGGCAAATAGAAGAAAGTCTACCAGGCACCTGAAGGAGGGCAACACAGAAGGGATGAAAGGACAGCGTCCTGATCTATTTTGTATTATCTTACAGATGAGGTCCATTCTGTCACCAGCCTGGAGTGCAGTGGGGCCATCACGGCTCACTGCAGCCTTGAACTCCTGGGCTCAAGCAATCCTCCCATGTCCACCTGTAGAGTAGTAGCTGGGACCACAGGTGTGAGCCACCATGCCCTGCTTTCTGATTGTATGATCTTGTCAGGGACTGAACCAGTAGGTTCTTGGGACTCATCCCAAATGATTCTCCCCAGAGCAGGCCTGATACTCCCAGGCACAAGACCACCAGCAATGCACAGCTGCTCAGGCCACTAGAGGGCAGGTTCCTCCCGGGCCCCATGGCCTTCCTGAAGCTGTGGCCTGCAGTCCCTGGAGCTGCCCAAATCCCCAGGGAAGGAGCCTGCAGCCCCATTTGCCCTGACGGACACCACTGGGCCCAATAAATGTCCCAGATATTTCAAAGCCAGTCATTGGATAAAGGAGTAAATGGTCAGAGAGGGCTGTGTTGGGACCAATGAGCTACTTGGTTTTGTTATTTAACTTCATATAAATCATGGCTTTAAAACAATTAGAGCTGTTCAAAAATGGAGTGGGTTGGTCTGGCAGTTAGTGAGTCTCAAGTGGGTGGAGCACTGGAGGAGAGGATGTTGTAGGAGGGCCCATAGCTTGGATGGATGTCTGACTGTAACAACTTCAGGCCCCCTCCCAAAGCCTGCTGTGTTCTGGGCTTCCCAGCATGCCGTGGAGAGGCACTGGGGCACTCTGTCCCTTCTTCTGAAGGAAGCAGACAGAGAAACCAAGAATCAGGGACAGCAGCCAGACTCTAATGGTGGAGCCATGGAGCAGGAAGGATTCGGGCAAGCCAGAAGCATGGGATTTGGTTTCCCAATTCAGCCTGCTTCCAGAAGGTTTCCAACAGGGGATGCCTCATGGGCTATGACCCCACTCCCATGTTCTAGCCGTAACACCATATCAGCCCCACCCCAGCCACTGGCATGCCTCACCTCCGAAGGTCTTCAGGCGGGGGTACCCCCCGGCGCAGGTTCACCCACTGCTGAAGCTGGTTCATGGAGCTCTTGCGCTGGGCAATTTTGTCAGGGTTGGTGCGTGGCGGGAAGCTCCGCCGGTGTCCCCCAGTCTCTCCGTCCTGAGGCGGGAAAGCTGTGCTCCCTGGCCGGCTTGGGGAGTGGTACTGCCAGCCATTGGGCTGGGCAGGTTGTTCCCCACCCCCTGGCACCCTTGGGCCCTCGGGGTAAGGGCTGCCCGGCTCTGAGGCTGGCTCCGGTCCAGCTGGGAGGCCGTTGGCTTTCACCAGAGGCTCTTTCTTGACTTCTGGCCTCTCCGGCCTTCTCTCTGCCTTTTCACAGCCTCGGCCATCACCCTCCCCTCGAGTCTTGGCCTCTGGCTCAGGCTTGGGGAGGCTGTTGTGGGGCGGCTGCTGGTGGTGCTTGCTGGGTGGGATGTTCTCCGAGTCTGGCTTCTCATGGCTGCTGGATGCCAAAGGAGATGCTGTCAGTGACTTTAGCCCAGCATGGAGTGGGGCAGGGGGTACCAGACTGGGAAGGAGAAGAGGAGTGGGGAAAGATGGGCAGGGAGGTGGCAATGGAACCAGGATTCTATGAATTCCTGTTCTGCTTCTTAAGTCTCACTGCTTCATCTTCTCAATCCAGCCTGGGAAATTATTACACAACCTAATCTGCCCTACCCACATCTGCTGTGTTAACTCTGCCCCCAACATCTTCTCTGCAGGTCATTCTCCACCCCACTCCCCTCTGCCAGTCTGCTTTGAGCCCAGTCTTCAAGCTATGTCATGACTCACCTCACCTAGTCTTGGTCCTCTCTGCAATGTGTCCCTGACCCAGCTCCCCAAACTGGGTTTGCACTCTTATCAGTAACTGTCCTTGATACTCCAGCGACAAAGGCTTGTGATGGGGCACTTGTCTTTCCTATAGAAAGTTACTTAACTGCCAAGAGTCTTGGGCTCCTCATCAGCAGAATGGGTATAATAATATCTCCCCTCCTAGGACTGCTGTGAGATAAACATGGCGGGCCTCAGGAGCAGAAGTTTCTGCTTTGAAACTCACAAGCACATAAACACGCTAGTTCCCTTCTCCAAAACACGTTTCTTCCAGGTCTGACTTTCCATCAGAATACAGGCCCCACAAGGGTAGGAATGTGGCAGACTTTCTTCCCCTGTGTTCCTAGCACCCACTACAGTGCCTTACACTATTTATATTTACAGTAAGTATTTGTGAAATGAATGAATGAATGAACTCTTGGAAGTAAGCCCCTTGGTTGAAGCAAAGATGGAAATTTGTGACAATTTTCCCCCTACAGCTTCCCAAACTCCACACATTCAAGCATCCTTGTTGAAACATTGCTTGGTAAACATTTCTAAGATATGTGAATGGACTTGGAGTCTACACTGTGAAACCCCCTTCTCCTGGATCCCCCTTAGCACCTAACTCAAGACTCCACACGCAGCTAAGGGAGAGACAGACGCTGAGACCGTGGGTGACGGCGGGCGATGGGAGCGGCCATATGCTAAGAGTTTACTGCATGTCGAGTGTTTTACACGCACTCTGTGTAAGCCTCACGACAACCCTGAGATAGAGTTATGTTTGCTGGTTTTTGAGCAGAGGAACCTCAGGTTCAGAGAGGGTGAGTCCCTTGCACTGAGGTCACGCTGCAGCCAAGTGGACAAGGTGTGATTCAAACCTGAGTTTATTTTCCTCCAAAAGTGGTGTGCTTAACACACACAGCTGAGAAAAACCAGCAAATGACACTGACCTCTGGCTCCTGGCCAGGCCCCAATGGAACCTGGCTTTTCTCTTGGCCTCCCTCAGCTCAGAGAGTAGAGGGGGAGCTGGCTAGGGGAAGAGAGACTTCAGGCTCTGAAATCACTCAGTCAGGCCTCCTGCCTGGATGCAAGGAGTCGGCTCACACATCCTCCAGGGCTTCAGGGAGGCACCCTGGGATTAGCAATGACCCAGAGTTGGGTGTGTCTTCCATTCCCCCTCTTAATTCTTCCTGCATCCCCACACTCAATTCCCTGGCACTCACCTGTGCCGCACAGCTTGGGGCACTGACTTCTGGGCTGGAGGGATCTGTACTCGAGCAGCCTCCCCCATGGCCTGGATCCAGGCCTCTTGCTCCTCAGGGCTCTCGGCACTGAAGAAGTAGGTGCGGACCCCGGCATGCTCGGCCTGTGGGGAGAGGCAGTGCGTGGAGCTGGCCTCGGCCTCATCCACCCAGCACACAGTCACCTGTTGGGAGAAGACACCAACACCCACAGAATGGGCAGTCAGTTGGGCCATTCCCTGCACCTGGGGCTCTTCCCCATGCGGAGCTCGGGAGCAAGGTGAGGAGGGCAGCTTGCAGCTACCCCAAGGGCTCCAGCTGGTACCCAGGTATCCACCTTGGCTGGCTCTCTGGGCACCATTAGGCAGCCCAATAACCAGGTCAGCCTACTTGCCCCACCTGGGGTAATTAAAGCAGGAGGGACAATGATCACACCCACTTCCCCGGCAAATTCCATGTTTGATTTCAAAGGCAATGACCCCGTGTCTGGGGAGAGGACCCCTGAGCACATGCCAATCTTAGCCCCAGCTTTTCACTGCTGAGAAGCTAGCACTGTCTCTTCACGTGGAGAGACAGCCAAGCCCCTCTCTGTGGGCATGCAAAGCAGACACTGGCATACAGACGGGGCACACTACCTAGTTGGCGGCTGTGAGCAGGTACTGCGGGCGGGAACCCAGAAGAGAGCTCCTGTCCAGAGGAGGGGTCCTCACGCGGTCAGAAGGAGGAGAAGCAGAGAACAGGTCAACCAAACACCAGAGGGAGAGACAGAAGACGACGTGACAGGAAATGGTGAGGAGCACAGGGAAGGGGGGATATTCAGATTGTCCCCTTCTACTCTGTGTCTCCCCTGGGAATGGCAGCACCCAGCAATGCCCAGTTCTGCCTACCAAGGGTTTGGGAGTGGAGAGCTTGCACCAGGGAAATTCAGGCTGGTGGTGGAGAGTGAGTCAGGGAATCGCAGCGCTAAGCCTGGCTCTGCTCCTGACCAGCTCTGTAACTGCAGACAAATTGTGGTTTTGCTCTGGCCTTCACTGATGCATCTATTTCATGGGAAAAGGGTCTGCCTGGTGAAATTCAAAGTTCTTAGGCCACAGGGAAAAGAGGCCACAGGACTAAATTCTTTCTGGGACCTCAGCATACTTCCCGGTGAGATCCTCAGTAGCTTGACTTAGCCCACTCAACAGGGGACACCTAGCAGTGATTCAGAGTCTCGGATGTGAGCCTTACTCCAGCCTCTGACCCCTTGAGCCCTAAATCCTGGGTCTCTGGGGGTCGAGATAGCCTCAGGACTCCCCTGAGCAGTGATGTCAAAACCATACCCTCTAAATGCTCAAAAGGTTCCTCAGTTGCAGCTGGTCCCACCTCGCCTCCACCTGTCCCCAGCCCTCAATTTCTTTCTGACAGGAACAATTACCCAGCAAGAGGCAAGGGTGGGCCTCCTTCCTCTGGTCCCCAACCTCCAGCAGAGGACTTAGCATGTGGGCGGAGCTTGGGGCAGGTGTGGGAGAGGGCAGGGGAGGTGTTGACAAAAAGCCAGTGAAGCCTCAAGAGGGCAGAGGATCGGGGGTAGAGAGACCAGAGGCCCAAGCAAGTCCTCTGGGTGGAGAACACAGGGTTATTGTAGAGAGGAGACACACAGGCAGGGCTCGTGGGTGTGTCCTGGGGTGGGTGGGAGTGGGCAGCAAATGAATTCATCAATTCAATGAGCATCCAGGGAGCAGCCTGTGTGTGCAGAACTCGGTGGGGGCACCAGTCACAAGGAAGGCAAAGACAGGCTCTTGCACTTGAAGAGCTGACAGTCACGCTGGGGGACAAAACATGCCACGGGAAACAAGGAGAGAGCAGAGGCACAAGGACAAGTGCTGTGACAGGGGAAGGCAGAGGGCCTGGGAAAAGGCAGGGCCATTGATGGGGAGTGGGCAGGGGCGCTGGCCTGGAACTATGAAAGGGGGCCAGAGAATTGAGGGAGCTGTCCCAGCAGGGCAAAGCCCTCGAAGCCTCTGTGGGGCCGAGTTAGGAAGAAGTTAAGGCATTCAGCGGTAGCCTGGGCAGGAACAGTTCCTGGCTCATTCTTAACCATCCAAGAGCTTTGCTCGGTGGCCACAGCAGGACAAGCCTCCCATCTGTCTCAGCTCCCCTCCCTTCCCTGGGGAAGGGCCATGGAATAGCCACAATCAGAACCCTTTGTGGACCACTGAGCACAGCCCTCGGAGTCAGGTTTGAAAGAGGCAGTGCAGTGAAGGGGAAGGAGGCGAGGAGCTGGTGGGCAGAGAGGTGATATCTGGGATCTGTGGTGGGGGGAGTGTGTCAGTCACTCGGGGATGTTTATCTCACGCCTGCTGCTGGCAGAGCTCCGAGCTGGAGCGTGTCTGTGTCTCTGCACAGGTCTGGTGGGGAGGGTGAGACAGGCTGTTTGATTGTGTGTGTGGGTGTGTGTGTGTGTCTATGTATAACAGGACTACTTGTTGTTGGTTAAACAGCCTGTTCCTATTTCCCCAGCTAGAACTGGCTCCCTGGAGTCAGAGTTTTATTAATTGTTCATTCTCTTCACACCTCTGGCATACAAGACCCCAGGAGGCTGGAAACTAATTATGTGCCAAATAAGTCCTTCCTTGATCCCTGTAGCGGGCCCTGTGCATGCTGCCCAGCCTTTTTCCGTGGCCAGGTGACTGGAGCCTGAAGGACAGGAAGGGACAGAGTCCCTTCTTCTAAGGCTCTGGAAGCTCAAGGAGTGACCTACGGGTCCCATCATCTAACATCATAGCTTTGAAGGGTCTTGGACAGCAGCTGTCAATTAGGGCAGAGAGGGCTTTGTAGCCAGACAATGTGTAGTTGATATTATAATTTTATATTTGGAAAATGAAAAGGAACCTATGATTTTTGCATCACAAAATACAAAAGGGCATGAGATTTTTATAGGTTTTGATGGGTCATGAATTTTTAAATGTGGAAAAACACTGGCCTAGGACGAGCCAGCTGCAGGCACATCTTTAACGGGTGGCTCCCCAGGGGTTCAAGGCAGTGATATTGAGCAGGCAGGAAAGGCCCATTTTCCTGCGCACTTGTTCTCTCAAATGGTTTCTCCATGAGATGTGCAGCTCTTGTGGAATGAAACTCAACTCCTAATATTCACTAAAGACTGAAATTTGAGTAAGTTTTACTTGGAGGTAGGTCCAGTTTGCTGAAACCATGGTGGGGAGGAAGCCTTTCCAGAAAAGGTCGCAGAACCCACCAGCCACAGCTCCTGCCTCTGCCCAGAGGGATTTCCCAGGGGCAGGCACTGGGCAAAAGGTCCACGGACTCAGAACATAACTATTCCTGCCCCAGTAACAATTGTGGTGCTGCTGAAACACATCTCTACTGGCCCACTCTTGGGAGAATTGCCCACCCAACCCCCAAGAGAGGAGGAAGGTCCCAGCATAGCCTTGCTCTAGCCTTACAAGAGACTGTGCTGAGTCTAGGGGCCATTACTACTCCCCCTCCTCCGCCCACCACCACTGCTACCACCATCACCACCTGGGATTCCTTAGGGTGACGGCTCTTGGCCCCTCTCCATTCCCATAGGCTGTAGAAGAGCAGGCCTCCCTCCCCCAGCTGCCCTGGGAGGGGAAGACCAACTGACCTTAAACGTGTGTTTCCGGCTGATGTTGTCTGAGGGCTGCACTGCGGCTACCCGGAAGCTCAGGAGGGGGATGCTGCCCAGGATACTCTCTTCCTTCTCATCTGTCAGGGAGAGAGGCACAAGAAGGGGGTGTGTGTGTGTGTGTGTGTGTGTGTGTGCACGCACACCAGGGGTGGGGAGGACTGTATTGCCCCTCCTTGATAATATCAATACATATTTATTGTTCACCTCCTATTTGTCAGGCACTCAGGGCCACCACACATGCTCTGAGAGGACACTCCCTGGAGTTAGGGAGTGTGATGGCCCTGGAGATGCTGTTCCAGACACTGGGACTGCAGAGGTGAATAAGAGAGAAATAGTGCCTACCCTAAGGGAATTCGCCTTCTAGTGCACAAATAAACAAAGAAATAACAGCTGATATTTGGAAGCTCAGGCACTGTTCTAAGTGAAATGCCTTAATGGATTTAATCCTCCCAACAAACCCATGAAGAGGTCCTATTATTACCTTTATTATTACCCTTATTTTATAGGTAAGGAAGCTGAGACACAAAGACATTAGATGATTTATCCAAGGTTACTTAAGGAACAAGGGATAAAATTGGTCTTCAAACACAAAAAGTGAACTCCAAAGCTAGCACTGTTGACCACTCTCCTATCTATCCTGCCTCGCTAAACGAGACCATCCCACCAGTGACATATGTAACAAGGTGATGGGACAGATCATTGTAGAGTGGACTGTCCCACCTTCTGCTCTCTGGTGCCTCTGGGTCACTCTTTCTAAGGTTCTCCCTGTCACTCAGAGCCTGCTTTGCCCTTTCCGGCTGCAGATCCCCGCTGAGGTTCTATGTCTCCATAGGAAAAGGCACCCCTGCCTGGAGCTCTAACAGTCCAGCTATTACATAATTCATCCCGGATCTCCAAACGAGCCTGATGGATTGGCCAGTTGGGCCCCCTGCTGTCAGCAGGAGGCAAGAAAGGGCGGGGAGTGCTCTGTGGGACAGTGGGGGGACAATTATGAGACCATGGCAAGGCCCTCCCCACTTCCCTGGGATCGCTATTTGTTCCCCAGGCTGAGGACTCTGAAAAGCCTTCAGCTAGGGTTCAGAAGAAACCTCTGTAGGGTTATAAACTCCTCAAGCCCTGCTTCTCCTCTTACTCATCACATCTACACAATACTTGGCCCACAGATCAGCTTCTCTATTTGGACCCCAGCATGGTACCTAGAGGAAGGGGCAAACCAGAGTAGTAGGAGGCACTCAGGGTTGGACCCCAGGGCTGCCTTCAGGAGAACTGAGGCTCTTGTCCTCCAGAGATCGAGCCCCTGCCTGGCAGAGTCCAGGCCAGCATTTAGGTAAGTCCTGAGTCCATCTCTTGGTGAACAGTGACCTCCATTTTGGTGTGTCCTGAGCCTTTGGGTTCTCAGCTCTTTGAGGTTCTACCCCCACTGCTTCCCAAAGTCTCTTCTCTGTAGAGACTCCCATTTTCCTCTCAGTTTCATTCCCACTCTGGCTCCATTGTGGCCCAATATCCTGGAGGCTCAGCACCTGGGTCCTAGGCCTGGGCAGATTCCTCTCCCTGAGTCTTGGCCTTTTCTCTGGGACTGGACTCTGTATGCTCAGCCCCTTCCTGTTTTCCCTCCTTGGGGTTCAGGTGGCTGCAATACAGCAACCAGGGACAGCAGTGCTCTGCAGGGTCACTGGGTACAACCTTTGTTTGCCAAAGTTAATGATTCACTGAATTGCTCCCAGGAGGCCTGGAAATCAGGGCTGTGCCCTCCTGGGCCAAGGGAGTGAAGGAAAGAGCCTCTCCTGCTTCATAATCATTGTACCCTCTCTTCTCTCATCCCTCACACCCATTTCCTCCCCTGCATCCACATGGCGCCACCATCACTGACCTCAACCCTTGCTGGTGGCCCTCAGCCTGCCTTGGCACAACTTTTAAAAATAGAGAGTAGGGAAAGGGTGTTGGGGTCAGCAGAGAAGGTGAAGCTGGAGGATATTATGTTCACTCATTCACTATTGACTGAGCACCGACTAAATGGCAGGCAGTGTTTTGGGTGCTGTGGATACAGCAGTGACCAACACTGACAAAAGTTCCTGCCTTCACAGATGGGACTGTGCATTCCAGTGGGACAGGAGGAAAGGCCACACACAAGCTCCAATTAGTAGGTGACCTGCTAGTAGTGACTAGTGACCTCCTCCTCTTTGTCCTTGTCCTTTCTCCCCATTCCTCCAGGATTTCACCAGCCGTATGACCACCTTGTTCACCCAGTGTATCGCTGGAACTCTGCCTGAAACCTAGCAAGCATTGTTGAATGTGAACTGAATGGGTGAGTGAGTGAGTGTGTGAGTGAACAAGTGAGCTTTGTTTTTATCCTGCTGCCACTGGTGCCAGGACCACAGTGAGGAGATCTGCCCTGCCGGTGCCCATCCAAAGCCAAGCTTGGGGATATGGCAGAATGAGAAAGAGTGGTGGGTCCTGGCTTCCTGCCATCCCTGCCAGTCCAAGGGCCAAGCTCACCTTTATAGTAGAAGAGGCAGCGATCCACCAGGACGAACCAGCGCTTGTTCCACTGCTTAACCCCGGAGCTGGCCTGTGGGACATGGGAGAGGCAGATGTGAGGGCCGCAGGCTGGAAGTGGAAGAGGAGGTGAAATGCAGGGAAAAGGGCACCATGTCAATTATAAGGACGTCGTGGCCCTAGCTGCGGCTCTGCTGTTAATGCACGGCAGCAACCCCTGGAGACCTCAGATGCAAGGAACTGACATTAGATTATTGCCTATGACCTTCCAGTTCTGTCATTCAGTGCCTCCCCTGGGGAGGAGAACAGGGGCAAGAGATGGGCAGAACGAGTGAGTGGAAGGGCAGGCAGGGATAGCGGCAAGGCCAATCTGGTGCCAATCTGTGAACCCTAGACTTTCAGGAGACACCCCTACCCCCCACCATAATAAACAGGACCTGCTGGGGAGCTAGTGGGTTGTTTCCATGGGGTTAGGGACTCAGCATGTTTCAAGGTCATTGCATCTGCCCATCAGGACACGGGCTGGGTTCCCAAGTTTGACACAAATTTTTCTGTGTGACTTTGGGAAGATACTCAGTTTCTCTGAGCCTTTATAAAATTAGGAGACTCATTCACAGAGACAGCAGGAGGACATACCAAAAAAATACATGGACTGTCATAGGCACAGAGGAATCCTCATTCTGTGAGGAAAAGGTGGAGGCTACGGTGGCCAGAACAGCAGGGTGGCCTCACCTGTTTGAAGAGCCAGCCCGCCTTGGTGACAGGTGCATTGGGGTTCCGCTTCATGGAGTGTGAGCGCTTGCCAAAGGCGACAGCTTTGCGGGCTGTGCGAGTTGCCTAGGGGCAGAAAGAGAAGCTGACCTAGGTCCCCAGTCTCCTCCTTCCTGCTCTATCTGCAAGGGAGCCACCCCTGCTAGAGCTGCTTCTCCCTAGGGTTAACCCCGGGGTGCCCTCAAGCCAAGGGGCCTAGGTGTGAATCTTGGATCTATTACTAACTCAAGAGCAGGGCCTTCCAGTTCTTTGGCAGTGTTTCTCATTTCTAAAATAGGGCTCAAAATAATAATTCCAAAAAAATAAAATAATAGTTCTACCTGTCTCACAGCTTTTTGTTTTTTTTTTGGAGGTGAAAATAATAAGATTTCCAATTTCACTCTGGCCTATCCTACTCCCAGCCGCCTTACTCCCTCTCTCTTCCACAGTGCGTTCTGCAAGTTAACTCCCTGCATCCTCGTCCTCTGAGGGTCCCGTGCGTCGTCTCGTGCCCAACATAACACGGAGCCGCGAGGAGAGACGGATGTTCTAGCTCTGTGTTGCCACGTGAACACTGTCATTCTTCCACACTCGGGCAATAGTCCACCTTGCTGGAAGCACCACTGCCTGATCTCCCACTGTTTAATCCTTCTCATCACTGTCCGCTTCTCAATCGTTCTTTCAGAGTCTAAGGGTTTTGATGTTAGTCCTCCTCTTCATTCTGTCTTGCATCACCGTGGAAAATCTCCTTGCTCAGGAGCATGACCCAGCAATGCCCTAACTTTATACAGCCTTGATGTCCTCAGCTCCAGCACTCTCCACCTGCACTCCAGCAACGCTCCCAGGTCTACACCTTTAGTCTTCTCAGCACCCCAAGCCCCTCCACTGCTACCATCTTCACTTCCAGGATTGCTGCTTTCTGATCCCAACATTCCACCCTTTGGGCTTTCTCACTCCATTAACTCAATACCAGCTTTTCTACTCCATTGAGGTCCCCAGCTCCTCAATTCTCCTTTTTTCTGGATCCATCAGCTCCTCCCAGTTTTCGTTACTTCCCTACAAAGCCTAGGCCCCATGGTGGAGTATATCAACTGGGCTCTCACAAACCCCATCTATTGTCTTCCTACCTCACCTTCTCTAAAACTCAATACAGCGCTCCAAATGAATCAAATTATCTACTCTCCCTGCACTGAGAGCCAGATTATGGTGCTGTCGGAGAAAAAAAAATATCACACTGCCATACAGATGAGGTTGCCACAGAGCCACAGTCCCAATCCCAGGAGGCTCAGCACCAGATGGCAGCTCCACTCCACACCCTCACCATCCTCCCAGCCCCCCTACCTCCCCTGCCTCTGCCCTCCCCAGAGGGAGGTCCCCACAGTGGATCTGCTCCTCCACAGAGAAATTCGAGGCTATTAGACATGCACTCCCTCAATGTCACACCCTTTTACCTAGAAAATGACTGTACTTACACTATCTTTGCCTCTTCCCCTCCAGTGTCAAAAGAAGAGGTGCTGCCCTCCTTCCAAGGCTAACATTTCTAACCCGTGTGTCCTCTGAGACTTAGCTCCACCGATCATCTCCTCTCAAATATATCTCTGATGCTTCCTCCTCCACTGATGTCTTCTCCTCAGCAAATGCACTCAAGTCTCTCCATCTGAAAGTGTCTCTGTCTCTCTCTCTCATGATGCCACACACATACCCAAATTCCCTTCAACACTATAACCCAAGGTCCACTGTGAGGTAATACCTTCCCTTACTTACTCTTCAGTCCTAGGCTCCTGGGAAGAGTCTCAACTTTCTCTCCTTCCATCACTCCTAAACCTCCTCTACCTATTTTCTGAAATGGCTCTTGCACTGTTATGGAATTAAGCCACTCACTCTAAAGCATTGGGCAGTCATAACCTTTCTGACTTTCCTGGAACTCTTCTTTGAGTTTCTACAACACTATTGTTTCCCTTTCAATACCTCCGTCTGTGGCCACTCCTTCTCAATCTCCCCTACTTCCACTCTCCAAGTGTTGGTGGGCCTCAATCACACGTTTATTATTTTATTTTTATTTTCTCATTTTTACATCATGCCTGTGTTACCTCATCCATACCCACTGCTTCCACTATGAGTAATATGATAAAAGCTCCCTAAGCTACAGCCAAGACCTCTCTTCCAGCTCAACCCATTTTATACCTGCTTGTCTGGCCAGGATTAAATAAGTGCAAAACCAAACTCATTCTCTTTCTAACCAAGCCTGTTCTGTACTTCTCATCTTGGTGAATAGTACTATGAGCCACCTAGCCACCCACCCCAGAACTCTGTGTTATCTTCCATGGGTCCTTCGTTCCTCTGTTCCATTACGCAATAGTGTATACAGGGCTGATGAGTCTGTCTCCTTAATAGTTCTCAAATCTGCTCTTCCCTCTCAAATTCCACTATTGTTGTCTTAAAGGTCCCCATCACTTCTTACTGTCTGCCCTCTACAACAAACTAAGGTTTTTTTCCAAAACACAAACAATCCTATTTCTCTCTTGCACTCATCACTTAGGAGAGAGGTTAGATTCCTCAGCACAGCACAAAGGACAGGTTTGTGAGATCTGGCAGGACCTGTCACCCACCTTCTGTCCCTTCACCAGACAGGCCCTGCCTCTGGTTCTCTCATCCTCTCGTGCCTTTCACAGCGTGCTCCCTGGCATTGGGGGAGGACCCATCCTCCCTTGGCCAAAGTCAAATCCCAACTCATGCTTTAAAGTTTGCTGCAGACTCCCCCGCTCCATGAAGTCCTGATGCCCCTGAGTGGTTAGCTGCACACTACTCTCCACACATCTGTACAGTCCAAGCCATGGCCCGTGAGCCACATGCGGCCCAGGATGGCTTTGAATGCAGCCCGACACAAACCTTCTTAAAACATTATGATTTTTTTTTTCTTAGCTCATCAGAGATTGTTAGTGTTAGCATATTTTATGTGTGGCCCAAGACAATTTTTCTTCTTCCAGTGTGGTCTAGGGAAGCCAAAAGATTGGACACCCCTTGCCTAAAACCTGTCACAGTGCAGCTTTCTATCTCCTCCATTGCACCATGAGCTCCTTGCAGGGAGAAATTTTGTCTTTTTCATCTTTCTCACTAGAACTGGCAAGGTGTCCAGCCATAATAAGCACTCAGCAACTGTTTGTAGAAGGAAGTAAGGAAGAAATTGGCCTTTATTATAAAGTACTCCCACAACTGGGAAATAAAATTATTATCTGAACATTACTAACAAAAATACACATATAATGACTGAGATTCGCCTTTGAAAGAAGTCACCACAACCCTATGCAAATCTCTAAATCCTTCCCTTTTCTCTCAGTCCAACTCTTTCATAATTCTGCCCCCTCTCTCCATGGCCTAGAGGCTGCCACCCCATAGTTTACCACTCCAGGCAACCTCCCACTAACTCCTGAATATCCTGGCCTCCTATCTTTCTGCCATAGCTTCTCGGCAAACTAAGGCTAATCCAACTACCTGCCTTCCCTGCTCTCACAGCCAGGCTATGAGCATGCTGGAGGAAAACCACGCAAACCTGCAGATTTAGGGCTGCATAGAATCACACTCGACTGCCCCAGATGATCCTTTGAAAGTATAGGGCAACATTTCATGTGTCCTTCATTGACCATCATTCCTATTCCCCAAACCTGTATCACGTATTTTCAAGCTCCCAGCCCCGCACCTGATGCTTCCCCACCCACCCCATTCCTTTCAGCAGAAAACCCTGCCTCCTACTTTCCTGCATAAGTTGAGGACATCATGTGAGAGTCTCTTTAATTTCCTAGACACCCACTCCCTAGCCTCACACGCCTTCTTTTAATGCAGTTTCAGGAAGAGATGGCTTTTCCCCATCCAGTCTAACAGCACCTCTGCATCTGACTCTCTCCATCTCCATAGAAATGTGACTCACTGGCTGTCCTCTTTCTCCCGAACCTACTACCTACTGGCCCATTCCCCTCACACCTCTGAAATCTTAAAACAAAACAAAACCAACAAATGAAACCTCCCTCCAGTCCTGCGTAAGTTACCTTCTAGCTTCCATTCCCTGCCCTTCCGTTTCCCGTCACAGTCAAGTGTCTTTAAAAACACTTTTTTGAAGTATTTCAAACATTTCAGAAAAGTAGGGAATAATACAATGATCATCATTTCATGTTGTTTTGCCCTAATAAAACAAGACAACTGGAGCTAAAACTCCCTCAAGCCCCTCACCAGTCTCATTACCTTTGCTTCCTCCCTAGAGGCAACCACTGACCCAAAATTAGTCTTCCTGTCCATGCTTATGCACTTCTACTACAGATGTTCCTATAAATATGTAGTACTGCTTTTCATGTCTGTACATTTACATAAGTGATATCATATTTCTCATATTCTGCCACTTGCTTTTTACTCAACGTTATATTTTCAAGATTTATCCTTGTTAATACATATAGCTCCAGTTCATTTTAATTTTTGGCAAGTGCTCCATTATGTGATGATATATTAACATTTGTTGTCTAATTCCTTAGAAGAGCAGTTTCTACACTATGCTCTTCCTATGTCTCCTCTCCCATCCCCACTTTTACCTCTCCAGCCTGCCTTCTGCTCTTCTCACACCACTCAAACTGCCCTTGTCAGGGTCCCCAGTGACCACATTGCTGCTAAACCCAGAGGACACTTTCAGCCTTTGTCTTCCTGGCCCTCTTTGCAACATTCTTCTCTAGATTTCCTTCTCCTGGGGCTTTCTTCCTTCCTTCCCCCTTCTCTGAGCTCTCAATCTCCATGACCTTCGTGACTGTCCTTCAAGACCAGTGGTTCTCAATGAGGTTGGGGAGATTTTGTCCCCAAGGGACAAAAAATCCTGACAATATCTGGAGACATTGTTGATAGTCACCCTTGGAAAAGAGGCGCTACTGGCATTTAGTGGGCAGAGGCCAGGAATGCTGCTCAACATCCTACAATGCACAGGACAGTCTCATAGCACGATGAATCATCCAACCCCAACTGCCAGCAGTGCTGAGGTTGAGAACCCCTGGTCTAGATGTTGGTCTTCTACGAGGTTCTGATCTGAGCCCTCTTCCCTTCCTACTCTCCACTCTCTTTCTGGGTCACCTTGCCTACTCTTGGAGCCTGCATAAATAGCTGGACAGGCTACGCTTTCCTAGGATTCCCAGAGATTCCACTAAACATGCACTGAAGACATTTCCAGCCCAACAGCTTGCTTTGAGGGCTGGACTTACCCGGACGCTGGGCCGCTCTGGAGGGACCTCGGACACCATGTTGTGGTTGGGTATGTCACTGTTGGTGGTAGCCGGGCGTTTCCCACCTGTTTTATTGGACATGTCCAAGGCTGATCTGATTTCAAGTCGACCAGAAAAAAGAGATTGGTGAGAGCCAAGAAACAATGGAAACCACCCATCCCTTTTCCACACCCTGCCACCCACTGTTTCAGCATCAACACAAAATTAGATCTCTTGAGTGCCATTGAGCAGTCACCTCAGCCACTCCTTCAACCCTTCTGAAATTATATGCCAGTGACCTTGGACAATTATTTATTTTTTGAGACCGTGTCATGCTCTGTCACTCAGTCTGTAGCCAGTGGCACAATCAGGACTCACCACAGCCTCGAACTCCTAGGCTCAAGTGATCTTCCCACCTCAGCCTCCAGAGGAGATGGGACCACAGGCATGGGCCACCATGCCCAGTTAATTTCTATTTATTTATTTTTTTTAGAGAGACACTAAAAAAAAAATATGTCACTATGTTGCCCAGGATGGTCTTAAACTCCTGGACTCAAATGATCCTCCCACCTTAGTTTCCCAAAACGCTGGAATTACAGGCATGAGCCACCTGTTCCCGGCCCTGGACATTTATTTTGAAAGTCTAGACCCTGGGGCTCCAGAAATCCTTTTCCTCTACTTTAAAAGACACAACTGCCTAGTGGCCTATGAGAGTAGATTAATTAATCCTCTTTTCTCTTCTTCTCCTTTCATTTGGTGAGCCAGGATCCACAGTGAGAGGAATTAGCATTTGGCTCTCATGATCATATCAGATTTTCTCAGCTCTTCCCTCAAAGGCCCCTGGGTGCTATGCCAGCCTCACACCTGTCTTCTACTCCATCAGCTCAACCTGCGGGGTACGCCAACCTGGCTTCTGCTAGACCCTAGGAAAAGTGGATGAGGGTGTCAAGCCAGATGGGTCTCAGATGCTTCCAGTCCTCAGAACCGAGGTGACTGACTGCAAAGCCCTTCTGCTTTCCTTTCCCCTCCCCGTTGCCTTCTGCTTTCCATCTGCAAGGAGGTGGTGGGATGGTAGTGGTTAAGGACAGAAAGGCCAAACAGCAAGTAGGGGACACACTTACATTTTCAAGTCAAATGTTTTGTTTTCGTCTGGGACGTGGCCAGTCACTGGGTGTAGAAATGTGTTCCGTCTTTCATTGTGGCTGTAGAGGGAAAAACAGAAGAGTCATGGTAAAGACGAAGAAGGCAGAGACAAAAACCAACATGTGGACAGACCCTGGGTGGTGACAGGGACAGGTGACCATGTAAGGAGCTTGTGCCTCTGTCCTCCAGGGGGATCCATGGGAGGCCTGGGCTGACATCCGGACGAGGATGGGGGCAGGGGGTGGGGAAAGGAAGAAATGAAACCTGGTCACCTCTCACGAGTCAGTGCCAACTACTTACTAAAGTTCTCTGGGGCTGGAAACAAGCCACACCGAACTCTTTCAATGCTTATCCTAAGTGTGGGGAAGAGGGTTTCCAACAGCCAGTTCAGCACATCAGGGCCCCATGCGTGGCAGGTTCTCTCCCAGGGACAGAGCCTGCCGGTGAGCCACATTTAAAAAAAAAAAAGCTCCCTCATTATTTGCTGAAAAAACTTTCTTGTGACCTTGGACTCCTTCTCCTTCTCCTGCTTTATGCTGTGTCTCTTTCTTAAAAGGAAATGGGAGCTCGAAAAACTCCATTCTTGAGCTTGGGCTTGGACCCACCCACACTCTAAATTCAGGGTCTCCTGTCCAAGGGCTGCTTGATGTCATTGAGACCTCAGGGGCTGTCAGGTATGAAGGTCAGTGGTAGCTCAACAGTCCAATCTCATTAAGGGATGCTGCGGCCAGGAAAGGGGCAGGGTGTTGTGAGGACGGCCTGCCAGGAAGCAGAAGGGAGCAGGAACCAGGGGTTGGGGGGTCAGGGGGTAAGTGCAGAGGCAGATGGGGAGCAGCATCGTGGAGGCTCCTTGGGAAGACCTGCTGTGGCTCCTCCGGCTGGCTGAGTGTCAGGAGAGTTCCCAAGGAGGCTCTCAAGGGAGATGGGGAGGAAGGCAGCAGACAGAGCGCAGAGGGGCTGATGCAGCAGGTCTAAGCCGCAATGGCAACCCCTGAGATGGATCCTGTAAGCTGCGACTACTTGACAAGAATGTAGCAGTGGAGATTCAAGCATCCAGCCAGTGGAGGGACTAGATGAGTTAAGGGCCTCGTCGCCCATCGCTCTTGAGAAATACTGTGAGAACCCAGCGTAGGTGCCAAACTACCGGAAGAAGCAGGCACTAGGCCAGAGGCCATGGAGACTGGGCCACTCAAGCACATCCACAGCAAAGGGCCAGCTCTGCTTGACAAGTGGCAGGTCAGCCAGCAGCAGAGGAAGGAGATCTTAGCTTAGTCCCTTCAGTTGCATCAGAGAAGGAAAATAACCTTTTGGGGGCCCCCTTTCCATAGCCCAGGACACATCCCAACCCTTGGGTTGTCTGCTAAAGCTAAAGATAATATCAAAGACTGTTTTTTTCAGTTTCCAAAGCTGTCACGCTCAGATGTAATCCAAAGACATGCAGGAGATAAAAGCACAGCAGGCAGTGCCTACAGTCTGTGCGGAAATCTGGGCTTTGCAGCTCAGGTTTGCCAGTCAGGACCCAAAATCGGGCGCGTGTCCACCGGGCCTGGGTTCTGAGTCTAGCACGTTGATAAGCCACTCCCTACTTCCCAAACTTTATTCCCACCTCCCTCCCAGGTCCAACAAGGACATGCTCCTCATTTAATCACAGGGGATCTTTGCAAGGAAGGGTCACTGTTTCCGGTGACCCTTGTCTGCCCCTGATTCTGTCCCATCTAGTGGTCTGGGGGGCAAGCAGTCTGCGGCAACTACAGTGTCCTTTGAGGTGTCAAGTTGTCTGCTTTTTCCCAGTGGCGCAGGGCACCCGCCCCCTGCCCTGACCCTCCAGTCTCCTTCTACTCTGCGTGTTCCCGATGATAACTGCTGGAATCTTCCCTGCAGGCACTGGCATAGACACACACACACACACACACACACACACACATATACACACACAGAAGCGTACACACACAGTCTGCTGCCAACCATCACAAGACTTCTAGGGAATGGCACATCTCTCCTAGCCCCAGACTTTCCTACCCAGCAACCTCTACAAATGACGTCCTCATTCTATCCCGGCACTACCAATTTCAAAATAGCTTCCCCTTCACAAGCACTGCAATGCAGCAACCATTGACCTAACTATGCTTCCTTCTCCAGGTCATCTCAAGCAGACCCCTTACTCTGAAGCCCCTGGATCCAAGCAGGATGAGCTGCCAACTCAGCTTGCTCTGACTCAACTTGGCTCATGATCTGTGGAAGAAATCCCTACCTGACCCGTCGATCAGCCCGAAACTTCAACATCTTTTTGGCAGGTCCGTCCCCAGATTGGCAGCCTCAGAGGACCCGCCGGCCACCCTGCTCCTACCATGCCTCTGAGAAGTAAGTCCTCTGGTCCAACTGGTAAGGCTGTGGCAGAGATGCAGAGCGATCGGTGGCAGAGACTCTGGCAGTTCCCCCTCCTCCTGGCTCTGGCTCTGGAGAACCAGGAGGGCACTCTCCTTGGGTGGTGGTAGGGGTCGCCTAGGTGCCCTAGTAGGCCTGTGGCTTCCTTGTATTCGGCCAGAATGCTACTGGTCAGAGGACTGGAGGCAGAATAAACAAGGAGGGGATGATATCCTCCCCATTCAGCTCCCCAAGGAGAAAATGCTGAAATAGAGAGACAGACATACACGGAGCAGGTGTAGCACTCCCAGGTAGTCCGACCTCAGTGAGCTAAGGACACAGAGTAGCTGGGCGGGTGAAGGAGTCTGGGGCTGCATTCCCATCTGCACGGCTGAAACTCATGCCAGCCCGACCTGTAGGGAGACAGTCCTCCTGCCTCCCCAATTCCCAACTCACAACACAGGCTCCTAAGCTGAAAATCAACTTGCTTCTCAGAGATCCTTCAGATCCTGTGGGCATAAGGGTTAAATGAAGCTCCAGATTCATCTGCTGTTATTGCTGCCGCTGCTGAGAAGCTGAGATTGATTGAGCAGGTCTCCTTTCCCTTCTGTCAGCCTGCCCAGCCTTCTTCTGTGTGGACAGGAGCATAATGAATGAAGCTCCTCTGCCCCCGTCCCTCCGACTTGCTCCCCTCGGACAGCACAGGGTTGCTTTCCCTCCCTGTGTGGCGGTCCTACAGATGAGAAGCAAGTCGACCAGATGGGCGTGGACGTTGTGGAGCCAGAGCTGGTGGCTGGGATGGGACTGCTCAGGCAACGTTAAAGGAGAGCTTCCTCCCAAGGCTTGCGAGGAATAGGGCGGCAAATGGGGCTTGAGAGGGGGTCATTGTGTGTTTATGGCTGAAAATCTTCCCAGACACGAGATGATACATTCCAGCTGGTGACTGTCAGATCTGCTCAGAAGCAAGGAGGTTTGTATCGATGCTAATTCCCCTGAATTCTTCAGCGGCTAAAGATGGTCAGCGCTCCCCCTTTCCTACTGTCCTTCATGTCTTAGGATCCTTGGACTGCGAGGGCCTTCCGAAGGACATCACTGCCATCCCCCTGCTTCTAGGCAAGTCTGTTCTCCAATCAATCCTCATTAAGTTCCTTGGTTTTCTGTAAAGAGTTCTAGCAAAGGAGGCTCCAGACCCACTGTTATCTTATCCTGCCAAGATGCTCTTTTTGATATCACGTTTCAGTTCCTCTGGCTTTCTATATTATTCCATTTCGTCTTCACATGACAGATTCCTTTTTTGACCAACGTGGTTCTTTTTAGCAGCACCAGGCAGCCTGCTGACATCACAGTCTGTTGCTATGGCAATTCTGTGATGTCACAACAGACACTGAAAGGAAGGGGCTAATCTAATTTTTTGGATTGAGCAAGAACTTTATCGGGGAATAATGTCATCAGTGAATGGAAAAGCAAATGGACAACATTATTATTTAACCCATAATGAGACATGTTGGTACGATATAACTGGGGTCAACCGCTGCTGATATTTATATAGCTTAATCTTAAATCCAGAAGGTCAATACATTCAGCTATTTCATGGGACTTTTGCAAATGATTTATCCTGGTGAGAGGAGGCCTCGGTTTTCAGATCGCTTCCTTTCCCTGTCCCTAATCCAGTTTCTTGGGCCCTCTCCTGATGCCCAGTTGAGGTTCCTGCCCATACAAAACAGGTGCTCGATAAATATTTGTTGAATGAATGAATAATAGAAACTCTCCAGCCCTGACTTAATTTTTAACCACCTGCATTTGGAGTTTGACATTCTATCACCAAGGGCTTCCCTATCTTAGCTCTCTCTTAAAATTAATTACTTCCTCTCCATGAGAGAAGCTCTGCTTCTGCCCCCTCGCCCCCTCACTCAGCTTCCCTGCCTATCTCCCCCTTGAATACATAGCTTGGCTTTGATCCACCTTCAGTAGGAGGGGAAGAAAATTAAGCTCATCTGCACAGAAGGAGGAGGGGGTAGGGGTGCTTTGGGAAAATGAGCTTTCTTCCTCTAGAAGGCAAAAATATCCCCTTTCTCTTCAAGCTGAGCTCCGGGGCCTCCCACAGCCTTTGCTTAAGCTGCAAGTTAAATTACTTCTCCTATGCCCTGTAAAGATAGCACGAGGGAGTAGGAACGAAGGCAGGCTTGGGGCTTCCCCTGCTCATCGAGAGCTCCGAAATCCTCTGAATTAAGTCTGCACACAGAATGTCTAGCAGGGGTTCTTTCCCTTTGCCAACAAACTGCACAGTATGGCAGATTTTCATTTTAGTTAGACATCAAGAAGAACTTACAAGAGGCAGAACATTAAAAAGGGAAACGATAGGTAATCCGTTTTCTCCTTCCTCTCTCCTTCCTTTTGGGATGTCGAAAGGCTTCCATTTGTCAAGGACAAATGATTATGAATCTATGAATACATATCCAAATGGACCTCTCAAATTCCGCCCAAGAGAAGGGAAAATCTCAGGTGGTAAAAGAGATCGTGTGGTGGAGGTAGAAGCAGTCCTAAACTCCAGAGCAGTCTAGTTGGTGGTCACTTATGCACTATGAGGGTGGCCCTGATGGCAGTGCCGTCAGTGGGAACAAATATGGCAGGACCAAACATTCAGTCCAAGATCCAACCTGAGTTAGCAATGTGACTTTATTTCTTGGGCCCTTAG